CGAACAACAACAACAAACCTCCTGACACAAGTACCCCAGTCTTGTGCCCGGCGCTCTGCTTAGTTAACACCCAGACGTCCCCCGACCATCCAATTTATCATCTCCGAAGTCCCGCGGTACAGGCTACTTTCCTCCTGGGAGGTCATTTTCACCACAATAAGTTCAGGGACGACTTGCATAGCCTGAGATCCTACTCACACGCCGGGATGGAGCGTACACCAACGTCCAGCTTCTCATGTACGCTCCACCATGGGTTGCTTCCCCACGTACGCTCCCGAGTAGACCTATCTGCCGAAAGTTTGGCCAACAACTCTTTACTGCTTTATTCTCGCCTCTCTCCAATCGAAAATACTGCATTGTGCGTGCCGCACACTAGCTCCGCAGTTTTTGAGTGGTTGGTCTGGTCGTTCAGCTTGCTCGACGTGAGTAATTCTTTGCGTTGATGGCTATATGTTTTATTGATCCACGTCAAGCAATGAACACCCCCCCCCCCTCCACCCCTCGGTGTTCGCCATCGGGGTTGGGTTTTCGTCGCTTGGCAACGACTCCCCCCCCCCCCCTCCACCGTCCGACCCATTCTGGATCTCACGCCGGAGAGTTTTGGGGTGTCTTTGCTCTAAGTCTTCCACCGCCCAATGGGGGACTTTAGTATGTTTTCATTGCCGTACCAATAGGCACTAACCTTAGGTAAGCTTGTGCTTACTTTGGACTGTACCCTCCTCATCTTCTGGGGGAGGTAGAGAGGGGGGGGGGCGCGTGGCCTCTATTTTTCAGGGGGGGTTCGGGTACTGGTTGGGGGTCGGGTCTATGTGTACTGCATTCTCGAATTGTCCCCCACTATAGCTACTGTGGATATTAAGTACACAGCTATCCTTACTCAATGCGTCTATGTGTCCTGTAATCTTCAATACAAACTAACCTGTGAGGTTTCAGTATGCAGCTTTCGTCACTCAATGCGTCTGTTTCCGGCAGTTGCAAACGTCACTCAATCCGTTAGGTCTCAATATGCAGCTATCCTCACTCAAAGCGTCTATGTGTGTGGCACTATCCAACATCACTCATCTCGTGAGGTTTCAGTATGTAACTATCCCCAGTCAGCGCGTCCATGTGTCTGGCAAACTCACCAACCACTCCATCTGTGAGCTTTCAGTATGCAGCTACCCTCACTCAACACGTCTAGGTGTCCGGCAATCTCCAACGCAAATCACCTGTGAGGTTTCAGTATGTGTCTTTCCTCACTCAAAGCGCTATGTGTCCGGCACTATCCAACATCACTCAACTCGTGAGGTTTCAGTATGTAGCTATCCCCACTCAGCGCGTCTATGTGCCTGGCAATTTCAAACCTCACTCAACCCTTGGGGTTTCAGTATACAGCTATTATCACTCAGTCGCCCCGGTGGTCTAGTGGGTAGCCTCGCAGCCTGCTAAGGGCCAGGTCGTGGGTTCGAGTCCCGACAGAGTGCAATTTTTCTCTCTAATTAAATCCTGGTCTCCGTTGGAAGCGACGCGCTGCAAAGCTCGTTGTTAGTAAACTTGACCGACTTCATAAGTCGCGAGTGAAGGAATTGCTGTACCCTTATCGCGATAAAAATACCTCAGGCAAGGACCGCAGGAGGGGGTCCAACCCCCCCCTCCTATGTGACCCCGGTTGGGTCGTCTAGCTGGTAGAAGTGGAGGATAGGGGCCAGAGGGGCAGACGACAGAGTTCAATCATGGGAGAAAAACAAAAAAACAAACAACTCAACACGTCTATGTGTCCGGCAATCTCCTACATCACTCAACCGGTGAGGTTTCCGCAAGCTATTCTCACTCGTCTTTGGTAGCGCATACTATGGGGGCTATATTTGGGGTGAAGGGTTTGACAGCGCTTTGCCAATAGCGCCAACCCACTTTGTCTGGGGCAGAATAAAAGGGGTACTACGCGACGAGACGCGCCTTGGGAGTTGAAGAATTCTTGGCGGAAAGATGTCCCAGGTGCCACAGAGGCAGGGAAGGCGAGATCATCACAACGGTGCACGCAAGGACCTGTCGAAGGGATGGAGCACAGGTCAACATGCACGAGCCGTTAAAATACGCACTATCGAGAGCACTCAACGGCCTTCGCGTCAAACACGACGTTGAAAGCGGGGCACCGTTCACGGGGGAAAGAAACCTGAGCATGGACATCGTCATCAGGCCAGGAGCCCTCACGAACGCATCTTCTCCGGGGTACCGCAACAAAGGAATACTCCTCGATGTCACACACGCAGACCCGCAAGCACAGGTACACTTGCGGAACGGCAGCGCGACCAGCGATGGAATCGCAGCCCAAGCATCCGAGGCGCGAAAGCGTCAGCACTACGCTCGTCCGGGACACGTGTCCTTTGACGAACGCAGCTTTAAACTTACCACCTTAGCCGTGGAAAGCTTTGGCCGCCTTGGAGAGGAGGGTTACGAGTTCATCGATGAACTTGCGACACATGCCGTGGGAGGAAGGGACGGAGGAACGATGGCTCTGAAAGGAGTCTTCAAGGAACGACTTCTTCAGACCGTTTCGGTGGCTACACAGGTGGCCATATCTCGGCGAGTGCAGAGGTACAAGCTCGCATTGCGCGGGCGTCAAGACGCCGAAAACAGGCGAACAAAATCGACCTCGAACCAGTCAACGCCAATGATATGGGGATGGAGTGTAGACGCATCGTAGAACGCGTTTTCGTTTGAAGTTGGCGTCGTGTTTGAGAGTAGATGTGACAGATTTGCGTAGAATAGGGTAAGATGTTATCATGAACGGAGAACAAAGGGCTTTTGCAACACGGAGATGTAGCATGGATCAAAGCATTTGTTGGATTTCAGCTTTTACAAGAGGACATCAACGCAGTAGTATATTACGAACGCATATAGGATACCATGAGGATTGTCATTGGTTGTATTGCAAGTTGAAGAGGAGATATTTTTCCGATGTAAGTGACAGTAGAAATAAGTCCTACACATGTTGTTGTACTTCGTATTGGTTTAGTATTCATGTAGAGTATGAGACGTTAAGTGAAAGTATTCTGAGGTACATCTGCAATTGTCGGAGGGCAAAAAAAATAAAAATAAATAAATAAAAGGGGTAAATTTACGCGGGACCAGGCTTTTCAAAGCAGGGGATGCAGCATAAGCGCCCCCCACAACCGATGAAAACTCACGCAGAGAAAAATCAGTGTCTAGCGTGTCGGTTGAACAGAAGTGGTACACAGGACCAGGTGTATTAGAAGAGGGGATGCGGCACAGGCGCTCCTGGCAGCTGATGAAAAGTCACGAACAGAGATAAACCAGTATCTATCTAGCGTGTCAGTTGAACAGAAGGGGTACCCAGGACCAGGTGTATCAGATGAGGGGATGCAGCACAGGCGCTCCCGGCAGCCGATGAAAACTCACGCGCAGAGATAAACCAGTATCTAGCGTGTCGGCTGAAGAGGAGGGGTACGCGGGACCAGGCGCACCAAATGAGGGGATGCAGCACAGGCGCTCCCCGCGGCCGATGAAAACTCACGCGCAGAGGTAAAACAGTATCTAGCGTGTCGGCTGAAGAGAAGGGGTGCGCGGGACCAGGAGTACCAAACGAGGGGATGCAGCACAGGCACTCCCCGCGGCCGATGAAAACTCACGCACAGGGGTAAAACAGTATCCAGCGCGTCGGCTGACAAAAAGGGGTTACACAGGACCCGGTGTATCAAAAGCTGCAGACACCGGCGCAGGTAAATTGTGCTGGCGTCAACATGAGATGGAAATAGGTCGGAGAGGACACTGCTGCTGTTGTTGTAGATGACATATATTTCCGTTGTTGCTGCAGGTAGGTGTGGACCCATGTACCAGATGTATCACCTTGGGTGCGTGAGGTGGAAATGGGGAGGGGAGGACACTGTTATACCGCTGTACGTGACATTTCCGTTGTGGCTGCAGGTAGGTGTGGACCCATGTACCAGACGTATCCACCTCTTTGAGGGATTCGCAGTAGGAAGGCGTCTCCACAATCGTGTAGGAGGAAAGGAAGCCGCAATGGTAAGTTCTCGATGCAGTAGATAGTCAGGCGTGTTTTTCGCGAGCGTCGAATGAAGGAGGTATTGTGTGTGGCGTACCACCCGCAGCAAAGAGCGAGGGAGGTTATCGCACATGATGGACCACAGTTTTCTTCCAGTCAGGGATGTTCGTCACGGTAGATCTGCTAGCAGCACGGGGGGGTACGTAGACAGGAGCATGCGTATGCCTGAAAAAGGCTACTATGTGTGGGCCCCCTTCCCCGAATGCGGGAGGGCCACTTCGTCCCTTCCTTTCCTCGCTCCCGCGGGTGCCTAATCAGAGAGAGTTAAAGCGTGTCTTCTCCTCCCAAGTACGGACATACCAACACACTAGTGTTTATTCCCTCGAGGGAGTCCATTAGGAATGGCGGGCCGCAGAACCGGAGGGACCACTCCGGACGGCTCGCAGGCAGGAGACACAAATAGCAGCGAGCAGATCGACAGCGTGCGGTCTGAGATCAGTTCGCTGACAAAGCAAATGGGCCAGCTGGTGCAGCTGGTCGGAGGACTTGCTGCACGATAGAGGAGAAGTTCGGCGGTGCCACGGAGGGCGCCGCTGAAAGCGGCGGCGCCGTGGAGAGCGTCGCCACAAGCACTGCAGGTCATTTTGGGACCGTGCAGTACGACGGGAGCGCGCAGGCAGCGGACCTGCGAAGAGAGTCTGGTCCTTCGGGACGACACAGCGGCGAAGTAGGGGGTTCAGACCCCCAAGAGGTGAGAGTAGCCGCTGCTCACAATCAAGCTTGTTTCAGCAGCGCCATGGGAAGTGGTGCTGCTGTCTTCGGTAGTGCGAGCGTGGGATACCAAAGCGTGAAGTACACAGCGCCCACGTTCAGTGGAGACGCCAAGAGCTTTTCTTCGTGGCTAGAGGATTTGTTTATGGCAGCGGACACAGCAAACCTTCTTGAGTTTTTCGAGGAGGGGGGGGCGGAGATCCCCGTAAACAGTGGGCAGAGCAAAGTCCAACTGTCCAGGTTTTACCCGCACGACAAAGTAGAGCTCGCTTTCCACGCGTGGAATTTCCTCCGTGGAGCTCTCAAGGACGAGAAAGACAGGACAATAATGAAGCGAGCTGAGTCGCCCCTGGGGGCGCTCCGTGAGCTGAAGGGGTTGTACGACCCAAAATCGTCCATGCAGCCTGCGGATGAGTTAAAATCCCTGACATCCAAGAAGATCCCGATGGCAGAGAATCCGCAACATGCTCTCAACAGTATGCTCGCCACCGCAGAGTCCCTTTCGAAACGGGGGCTTGATGTTTACGAAACCTTCGTTTTGCACCTCTTCTTGGATGCCCTCTCCAACGAGTACGCTATGACCAAGCACGACCTCAGACAAAAGGAGAAGTTGACAAGGAGTGACGTCCTGGAGGAGGTCACCATCGAATATCGATCAATCATGGAGAAGGTGAAGGCGGGGAAAGGCAAGGGCGCACGCCGCACCGAGCAGGCCTACCTCGCCGATGGAGGCGGCCGCCGTGGGCGGTCGTCGTGGCGTGGGGGCGGCCGCCGAGGGCGGTCGTCCTGGCGTGGTCGTGGCGGTGGCCGCAGCGGCGGCCGCGGGGGCGGCGACAGCAGCGGAAAAGGCGGTGGCGGCGTCGAGGAGAGCAAGGGGAGTGGCTCTGGTGGGGCAGATGGCGGCGGTACCGGGGACAAGAAGTTCCCGGGCCGGTGCTTCACGTGTGGCCGTTTCGGACACACGCAGCAGGACTGCACCACCAAGGAGAGCGACTACCTCCCGCAGTGCTCACACTGCGCAGGATGGGGTCACAGCAAAGACAAGTCCGCGCCGGAGGAGGCCGTCCTGGCGCAGATCGTCCATGCCGACAGCGACNGTCGTCCTGGCGTGGTCGTGGCGGTGGCCGCAGCGGCGGCCGCGGGCAGCGGAAAAGGCGGCGGCGGCGTCGAGGAGAGCAAGGGGAGTGGCTCTGGTGGGGCAGATGGCGGCGGTACCGGGGACAAGAAGTTCCCGGGCCGGTGCTTCACGTGTGGCCGTTTCGGACACACGCAGCAGGACTGCACCAC